ACTTTTCGCGCTTGGGATTGTCACACTAGATAGACTTCTCATCGTCAGTCACCATACGCCACAGAAAACCACACACTTTTTTCTTGGCAAGCAATAAAACCGCAATGTTGAAACGAATGCCATCGCATGCAAACATCTACGAAAAGCTGATTCGTGGACTGCTAAGCTGTTCGGAATTGTTTGAGGGTTTGGTGCTTCGTTTTTGTCTAATAAGACTTACAATTAATTATGTTCCAGCTTTTTTGGACTTTCTACCTCCCACTTTTCCCCACTTTTAAAACAGTTGAAATCAAAACCCCTAATTCGGATATGATGGAGCAACACCACCATGAGTTTCTAAAAGTGTTTGATGGGCTTCGGCACCGTATTTCTTCAAGATAGACAATAAAAGTAATAAATGTCGAAAATGCAATTTTGGGTAACTCAGTAATACTAAATGAAAAACTGTTATTTTATAAAGAATTCAATCCATATGTACACTGGTATTTCCCATTTCTTCTTCATTTTTACCTGTAGACGTAGCTGATCAAAATTTATGCGAACACCTAACAGGTATGACTTATGGAATTATTTTATCTTAAAATTTGTATTTTCATATCACGGTTCACATCGACGTTTCCTACCACTAAGAAGGCACGAATGTCAGAATTTAAGGTTTTTCGTCTTGCTTTGACACATCTGGAGCTATTGTCGGGTTGTTCGTAAACGAATACCATTCATTTACTATTTTCCTTCATGATATTTTCTAACTTAAGATAAAAAAATAAGAGAACATCTCATTTTTTATTGTATCTAAATTTTGGTATTAAGAGAAAAATTTACTTTGAAGTTGGGTTTGGGTTTGGTTTAATGTTAATATGACAATAGTCTTAGGGTTCATAGTAGCAAAATACTTCAAAAGCTACGATGAATTTCTAGTGCAGTATCGGCAAATGCAATGCTTTTCAGATATATTATGAAAGAAAACATTGGGCTTAAATATTGATACCATTTTCATTTTAAAATATTTAATATACTGTACATATTTATTAATACTTTCTCTTTTATACAAGAAAATAAACGTCTTAAAGTAAATAAAAAATCTTTTACCATATTGCAAAAACAAAATTGGCGTATGCCAACTCCCGAAAAACAAAGTTTTTCTCTCAATCACCATTACCATCTCACAGCAAGTCGTATCCTCATATTTCTCTGAAAATATGGTTTCAAACCAAGTAAATAAAATGAAGGTATATTTGATGACAATAAAATATTATACATAGAAATTATAAAGTTATAGAATGACAAACGTAGCAAAGAAACATTATAAAGGTATATATATGAACATAGATTTTGCACCGACTATCGGCTCTAATTTATAAAAGTACATTAGATATTGAGCCTGATAGTTTCGATAAGTAATATATTGTATTGATATTCTCTTTTGTAGCTGATTTTAGAATGTCCATAGGATTAGTCGGTCCAAATGCAATACTTCTAGCCAAGGAAAAGTTAAGGCGGTCACAGACAACGTACTTTATAGTGAGAGTTTGTCCACAATTGCAGATTGGGGAGCAAGTCTTCTTTAGAATCCCTTGGTGATTTGCATTTGTATGGTGAATTCTCGAAAATGTTACATCTTGATTTTCTCAACATTTGTTGGATATAAAGGTGGAGTTAATTGAGGATTAATGGAAGAGTAGTGTTGATGATGGTATTGTAAATTTCCTTCTGCAATTTTCTCTTTTCTTTCAATGTATCTTTGAAGATCCAACTTTTCCATGACATCATCCATAATTAGAGGAGCAGAAGCAGGATACTTCGCTGCTCGATCAGCCTGCTCATTTCCTAATAAATGACTTGATACCTAAAGTATTTTAATTTTTTCGCCGGGTGTTTTGTCGCATTGACAATGTGCTTTCCAACGATATTTGTAAGAAAATGTGCGTCAGAGAATATCTGCGTGTGCACGTTTAGCACTGGTAAGGCATTAATATGCATCAGTAGATTTATTATATCAAATATGTGCTTTCGACAAATGTGCGTTTTTATTGATTTTTGTATAGAAATTTTAGCGTCCGACGCGTTTGCCCAAGTGGAGATCGCTCGTCCAATAGCCTGGAGGATGTTGATTGTCTTCGTGCTATCTTTCTCTTTTGTAAAGATGTATACATCGTCCGCGTAGAGACAATGTTCGATTCTCGGTACACGGCAAACAATTTTACTAATTTCGTTAAAGGCGATCTGGAAAAGCGTAACAGAAAGAGGAGATCCTTGTGGAATACCATTCATTAGAGAAAAGGAATCAGAGAGATGATTGTTGATTCTCACTTTAAACCGCCGATCCGGCATGGATGATTTGATGTAGTTGCAGAGTTTGGGTCGAACATTCCACGATTTCTAGAATCTTAAAATAACATGAAGACCAGCTCGGTCAAATGCTTTTTCGAAATCGATTGAGAGAATTGTTACATGATTCCATTCGGAAATTACTTTGCTTGTAAAGTAATCAATATGTAAAAGAGCGTCGATGCACCCTCTACCCCTTGAAACCAACTTGTTGTTTTGTAATCAGATTCTTGGACACAAGAAACCAGGATAATCTAGATGCCGTAATCTTTTCTGATACTTTTAAAAGGCAAGATAAAGGAGAGATTGGGCGATAATCCGATGCGATGGAGCCATTTTTTGATTTTGGAATTGGAACAACTGCTGCCAGTTTCCACATGTAGGGTATTTGGCCAGTCAAAAATACCTTATTATATAGGTCCAATAATTTCTTTTTACTTGAATTAAACAGAGTGCTGAACATTTGGGTTGAAATGCGGTGGATGCGGGGCAGCAGGTGTCCTCCCCTTCGAATTGGAGAGACAACTTTCAAGTTTTAAGGTAGATATGCAATTTTCCAGGAACATGGCACATCTGTCAATAGCATTTGAAGGAGAAATTGCAGCGTTTTTATTTTCGATGAAAGCACGAAAAAGTTGCTGCCAGTGGAGTATTCGCACCACACTTTTCCAAAGTAATTAGAAATCTCACCCGCGTCAGTTAAAGTTCCATTGGGAGTGCAGATGGCAGAAATTTCGTACAGATTTGAAGTCCCATTGAGTCTGTTGATTTTGTTCCAGAAAACTTTCATTGATGTATTCCTGTGAATTCTTTTCGAAAAAAGTTTGAAACTAAGTACCTTTGATTTTCGTAATTCCTTCCTGAATAGAGCATTTGCTTTTTTATATAATAACAAACGATCATGTTCAGGGCATCTTTTAAAGAGGTGCCATAGATCCATTTTGTTTTTCTTCAATAACGAAAGCATGTTGTTCCACCAAGCTTGTTTCAAAAAGCTGAAAGATGAGCAGCCGTGCGAATGGCTTTAGAGAAAATAGCAGAATCATGGTTCCAGTTCCCGTTAAATGACTTTGAATTCAGGAATAGTTCGGCCTGTTTGGAGTAATTGATCCAATCCGCTTTATCTAGAAGAAATTTGGCCTGTTTTGCTGGAGTAACAGAGGACTTTGAAAGGCGAAGATCGACTATGATTGGAAAGTGATGATTATATAGATCATCAGAGATGGACCAGGAAACCAAAGGAAGAAGTGATGGAGAGCAAAATGTTAAGTCAATATGTGGAGAGGTGTGATGAATTGAAAAGTGCGTTGGTTTCCCAGCATTTAAAATGCTGAGTTTGCTTTGAATGAAGCCTTTTCTAACACTGTACTACGACTGCTGTTCTCTGTTGAGCCCCAGATGGGCGGAAAGAACGGAGAATAAGTTGTAGAGTTCTTGCTGAGAGAACGATTGCGAAGGTGGGATATAGAGCGAAAGCACTGCAAATTTTTTGTTTAACATTATCGCTACGGCTTGCATATTTGAGCTTAAATTTATGCGATTTTGTGAGGTATACTTAATTTTATAAAAACACCATTTCCTTGTTTGGAATGAATTTTGAACAGCATTCGTAAAGTATCCAATATATGATTTGAGTGGAATAGTATTAAAACGGCTTCAACAATTGGTCTCTTGAAGGGATATAAAGGTTGGATTGAAATCACTTACGAGTGTACGGAGTTCATCAAAATTATTAAGAAGTCCCTTAATGTTCCATTGTAGAATTTTAAAACCTTATCATTCAATCATTTTACCGCCAATCGTTTATACGTACACTATACGATTAGTTCAAAGGTTTTGAACACATTTATGAATATGCGCTATACTTAAAATGTTTGCATTTTTAATTGGTGATTATATTTGCCAAGTTATTCAATGCATTCAAAACTCCCGTAATACGACTCTGTGACTACGTCTAAGTAGGTTTATGACTCAATTAAAATTTTTCTCCTTTATATATATCGTTCTATCGTACAAGTTTTGACAGATTTTAAAGAGTTTAGAGACTGTTTAAGCCAACAAAAAGAAACTTGGAAAAAAATGGAAGATTATATTACCCTTAAACAATTGTGCAGTATAACATAGCAAGAGAAAAATGAAAATGTTTTTAAAATATTTGTTAAATAAAAAACAAATTTATTTTGCACAAGTGAAACTCTAAAATAATTGAAATATTTGACATAGCATGCAAAACATATCGCTTTTATTACATTGATGTCCAACGTCCGCCTCGAAATCATCACATTATAGTTCGCCCATTAAACGCTTCGCTGAACCCACCGAACTTGTTCACTAAGTATGATGTAATTAAAACTTCAACAACAGGTAACCCTTGTAATTTCTAGTAACATTTTTAGAATAACATACAAGCCCACTGTAAGAAAAAATCATTCTACATATGGCACGAAGAGTGTTAAAGGTTGGACCTATTTAATTAACTTGCTTGTATACGGGCATTAAAAGTAATTTAATAACATTCGTTTTTGTGTTGTTATATGTATTTTTATGACGATTTTTTTCTTCCATTTCTATCTATCATTCACAGATTTCAATACAAAAAATTCATGACAGCAACAACAATAATTTCTGCCAATTGAAATGCTCAAATAATAATAATAATAATAATAATACAAACAAAACTTGCTTATGCAATTATTTATAAAGATTTGCAAAAGTTTAAAAAAAAATGATAACAAAAGTAGAATTACAAACAGCGCACAATATTAATTGAACTTAACAATAACAACCAATAGCATTTAACATGGACTATATGAATAACGAACGCACATACGCATTGAAAACAAAGTTTCTACTAAAGTAAAAAAAAAAAATAAAAAAAGGAAATGCAAAAAATATGTTTATACGTGAAATGAAATAAAAAAATGAGGTTTCGTTCAAAGGCAAATCTCGAAAATGAAAGTCGGTAACCACTGCAAGTCGAGGACATCCCAGAGATAGTTGTTTTCCAACCTCTTTTTGTTCTCTTTTGGAAAAATTTGGGAAAAATGCAATAATAAAAAAGCTATTGCGAAACTGTTATAGGGGAACAATTTCAAAATAAACAAAGAACAAGAATTAAGAATTAAGCGGCAAACAAATTGGTTTTAATAAACTTAAAGAAGAATCATCAAAGAAAACAGGAGCAAACTCAATACAACCAGTTATGCGGATTGCTACTTGCTTGACTGAGACGACGACAACAGCTATAACGACGGCGACGGTTATACCAACAATGAAGATAGTAAAAAATGTAAAGACTACCAGTTGCTGTGTGCCACTAAAAACAGCAACAGCAACACCCACATTAGTATCGACACTTTTATCAACAATAATACAAACCTCTACACCAGCAGCTTTAACAACAAAAACATCGGTATTATATAGAAAATCACTGTCAATGTCACTAGCACTGGTCGCATCTTCAACAACAATCGCAATGACTGCAATAACAAGAACAACAACAATTACAAGCAGCACATGTCGTGGCTTACAACATTTACAGTTATGGTGGCATATAGTAGCCTCTTCGTTACTGTTAATGACTATTTTTATGCCACCCGCAGTTCCTGTGCAAGCTTCCACCCTAGATATCTATAAGAATGCACGGCTCGGTCATCGCATTGTACAGACACGCTATGGCCGTTTACACGGTTTAATATTACCATTGGATAGTTATCGTTTCTTACGTTCTGTAGAGGTGTTCCTAGGAGTACCATACGCAACGCCACCCACCAAACAAAATAGGTAAATATATTTAATTTTCAGATTACGGTTATTTATTGCACATTACGTTATCACTAGCTGTATTAGCTGGTAAATAACAATATATGTATTTTTTTATATCCGTCGCACGCGCGAAAGTATACTAAATTTGCCCTTCCAACAGTAATATGAACAATATATTCAGTGTATACGTATTTTCGACGAGCGGAAAATTCCCAGCCAGAAGATCTCTCTTGTTGGAAGAAGCACGGTAGTAAAAATTGAAATTGGTTTCGGAATGTACAAGGTTATCAAATAAAAACCTTTTTTTTAAATGTCATAGCGTCCATGTTTTGTTTTCAAATTGTTTTGCAAAACTGATCATTGTGCTCGGTACTCCTTGGCAACTTACCGTGAGAAAGCTACAGAGTTATACAATTAATAAAAATTATTAATATTTATTACAGAAGAGACCATTTCAGTCGCATTTCGTTCATGTGGAATATTTCGTTACAAGGCCTCGTAAATAAAAAAATTGTGCCTTTGGAGTAAAGAAAAGTCATCCTCTTATTATCAACGATCCTTTGGTCCACAAAAATTACCTTTCGGGTATGATTTATGAGCAGAAAATCACATTTTTGAAAATGAAAATGGAATTTTAATTAAAGCGACTACAAATTGTTGTTCCAGAATTGCATTTTTACAAAAAGCCAGGGGTGTTCATTTATATTAAACGGCCAATAAAATTGCCATAAATTTGTTTGTAAAATTAAAAAGCAAAGCTCGTATTTGATATCTATGTTACACATGTGTACAATTATAGATAACACATATATATAATGCAAACATGTTCTACATTAATGTAATGCAATGTAAAGTGGTGAGCAAACCGCACCGCAACGAAAAGATATCGCTGGTATCGCTATCCCTGTAACTTTAGGATCCTCATGAAACACGCCACCTTTTTACGATGAATGAAATGGTTTTCGACATTATAAAGTATTCGCCAAATACCTGGTATTAGATCCTGCGGATAATCGCGCATCCTCCCTTCTTTGCTTCGCCCCGTCGCAGAATCCACATTAATCGGTATTTAAGATACGAATACATTTTAGGTGGTATCTAAAGAAGCTATAACGCAGTAAAAGTCAGTTACGAGACATACGTTGCTCCTTCTTACTTCTAGTAGCTTGTATGCTATATCGAAGAATTTAATAAATTTGTTTTCTATCTTACCGTTCGCCTGCACTTTGCTTCCAACAGGTTGCTGATCTTTACTGTGCCTATTCCGATACCAACCTTATGATGTGGCTCCTTGACATGCCGCCGAAAGGTTCCATATCGTACCCCTCCGGGCTTCCCTGTCGGTTAGGCAGTCAGCCATTTCATCGACTTCGATGCTGCAATGTTCGACCACCCAATGAGGATGTACCACGTTGTGCTTTTCTAACTCATTCAGGATTTGAAGGCATTTCAATATTTTATTTAGCTTAGTTTATACCTTATGCTTTAACGAACAAGCGTTGGCAGGCCAAAAGAACTCTGGCCGGCTTTTCGTCTTCCTGTTTCATATGTGGATTCCATGTTAGGGTTTCGTCAAACAGGGCGCCTCAATACCTCGGCTCATCTGAATAAATGACCTCAACTTCTTTTGAGAATACGTTGCATAATGAAAGTTTTTCTTTCCGGGAGAAAGGGTCTTTTTTGAGGGTTGATATATAAACCCCAATCATAATGCATTGGGAATTCACATACAAAGAAAACCAAGGTTTTAGCGAAGGCAACGTTCGCTGTAGCCAATCCGCCGGTTTCTTCCTATTGCAGGTTGGTATAAGACAACCCCGGCGGAAGGTACAGTCAACAAATTAAAGGCTAAGAGCTGATTTTTTTCGGCCCTCGTCAGGAATGATTCGAGGCCGTATCGATTCTGTTGCCTCTTTATAAGGAAAGCCATTGTCCGACATCTGATCCGGAGTGCTGTTTGTGAATCCAAAGTGAGCCCCCGCAGTTTCGGCTGCTGGTCGTTCTTGCGGATTACCAGTGTTAGGCACATGAGTCTCCTCTATGCGCCTATGCGTTTCCTTAAAATTCACTTCACCATTGCCCTAAGAGGGCGACGGCTGGCTCCATTTAGCCCAACGTACCTATCGCGACAGTTTACCCTCAAGCGGCTACGTCTACAACCGGAAGAGAACATCTTCCTCCATAATTTACAAATCTTCAGCTGTCAGCGCGAAATGTTGTCGACTTATCTGCCTGTTTGCAGAACAGTTTTAACGGTCGCTCTACAGGTTTGGATGAGTGCACCTTCTGTGGACTTAGTAGACGAGTAAAACAACGAAGTGGTAGAGAGGCTCAGTCTCAACTACAGACTCGTTCCCACACCGTGTCTCTAGTTATAATGAATCTAACGCAAAGTCTGACCAGAGGCTTTTGTTATACTTCTTTCCGTATGTTCTTTCCTCTTTTGTGGACAGCACGCATACTGCTCATGACGGTCTGGATGAATGTTACGCTTGTGCAAAGTCCTAAGGCAGATATATTCGCTTTCATCCACCCTCTCTTACGGGTACATTCCATCTGTCGTCCCGTCGTCGTCACCCTCCTGACGAAAGACTGAATGCACCATAGATCATATAACGTGTTATATTTTCATGATAGAAACTGTAAATTATAACTAATACAGGACTTAGTAAACTTAGCTCTGTAGGTTTGCAAGAAGACACTTTCGCAGTTTTCAGATATGTTTTTTACTTATCCGTTTTTTAGGAAGTGAAATTACCTCTAATATTCTCTTTCCCTTTCGGCTCTCTTACACCCATATCGCTATAAACGCTTAAAATAAAATGATGTGCCGGTCCAGTCAAATCTTAGAATAAATTACTCCACTTACATTCGAACAATATCGATCGATTGTATACGCCCCTCCAACATATGGTATTACCCACACGACGCAACGAACACCATTTCAAATTCAAGTAAAGCATCACAAAAAATTTTTTGTCAATTAGTATCCGTTTGTTTTTTGTTCTTTGTATTTAAATAGATTTAGTCCTACTCGTGCACCTGCGCCTTGGGATGGTATACGTATCTCAGATAAATACAGTCCTGTGTGTCCGCAACGCTTGCCAAATATACGTAACGAAACCGCAGCGTTAGAGAAAATGCCAAAAGGCCGTTTGGAGTATTTAAAAAGACTTCTGCCATTCCTGGAAAGTCAATCCGAAGACTGTCTTTATTTGAATATTTTCTCACCAATGAATGGTAAGTAATACACATACAAAAACCACAAATAGAATCTGAGAACAGCTTTTAAAATGAAAGAAGCGAAATCATTTAATACATACACGCACACAAATACATGCACATTGTCACCCAAGGACAACCTGGAAAGCCATAATACGGTCGATTATGTACGTCACAGGCACTTGTGTGCATTTACATTTTGCACACGTAACCACCACTCACGCACACACACACGGAACAATCATTTAAAATCAAATCCCTCCTAAATTAGGGGTAAATGTGTTGGTAGCAATTTCCTGTTTGGTGTGCACATGATTTTCGATCACATTCACCATTTGATATAGAAACAAGACAAGGACAAGATGTTGATGATAAAGATTTCCTCTAAAAAGAAAGAGGAAGCACGCATAATATACATATTGAACCTAAATATGTTTGTACCCCGGCAATAGTAAATCAAATGCTTGGCACAAATCAGTATCAACGAAGTGTAAGTATTTTGTGGACCACGAAATTTAAAAACAAGACATTGAAGCAAAATATTGGTCAAATCTCTCAAAAACTTTGAACATTATGATAATCAATCGAATGCGAAAGAAAAAATGATGGGAGGTGGTAATGACATCAGTAGAATAGATATCAGAATCGTTTTTAGATGCTGAAAAACTCAAATATCATTAATAAAATCAACGTCTGTCAGATTACAATAACTAATTCCAAGCATTCCAAATGAATGTACTTTAAATAATATAAAATTAATTGAAATATTATAAAACGCTTACCATTCCATGTCAGACTAGAAAGAGGCATTCTTTTCATTTCAAAAATTTTTTTTAAAATGTAATACGAGGTGAAATGTGTAGGACATTTAAAGATTGTAAGCTAATGATAATGAGCAGCACGGAAGAAACATCAAGGCTTCTTAACGCTGAACAAAATTTGAGGAAACCTTCATCTTCGCCGCTCGTATGATTGATAACTGAAAGAACTTTGCAACTTGCAAAATTTGTAAGACGAAAACTTTTTTTTCTTTGTACGAAGAAATCTTACGAAATTTGTAAATCGATGTGCACTGTAAAAGTGCATATTCTATGTCACGGGGAGATACATATCATCTGTTTCCAATCGTTCATTCATCAATTTCCACTGATGCGTTAAATATTCTGATAAGAGCAGCCCTAGTGAACTTGCAGACACGCCGTTATAGCGCATTCTTCAGAACCAAAACAATAATACTACTCCATTAATAATATAAGGAGAATAAGTTCGGTGGATCTTAGCATTGCGATAGCGCGCTAACAATAAAAGCCAAACGATTTCAAAGTTCATCTGCGATATCTCTTGTTTAAGAAGTTAGCCAGAAGTTGGTTTGCAGTTCCTTTCTTTTCTGGTTGCGGATCGCGCCCCTCTCGGCGCATTTTTATACTTGAAAAGTCATTGTGACAATCAATATAAACATTGAACGCAAATGTTACTCGAATGATTCTTATAGTATGGTCCCAAAAACTGAGACACAATGTGGATAAGGAAGGTCAACGACGACGTCAACAGTCCTTCTGCAGGTACACAACGATGAAATTTTTAGGCAAGGATGCTTAAAACGTCCAAGGTTTGTTTGTTATGAAAGCTGCTAAAATTCGATCTATGTGATTGCAAAATTTTTCGACAAAATTCGGTTATTAGTTTGACGTAAAAAATTTGGTTCGGCGGAGGCAAATTTTGAACTACCTCTCATGTAGCCGTTAATAGGAAAACTGATCTTTTTTTTTATGTTATAAAAAGGTATAAACTCCCAACATTTCATGATGAAACTTGGTTCTTGGCCTTAACGAAATGGGACCACTGGGGGCTATTTTTTAGATACCACACCACATAAGCATTCTCAGGAGATGACACGACCTAACGAAGTATGTTGCTTCTGCACTACTAATTATGGATGATATCATGGAAAAGTTGGATCTTCCAAGATACATTGGAAAAAAAATTGAAGAGAAAATTACAGGAAATCTATAATACCATCATCAACACTACTCTTCTATTAACCCTCAATTAACTCCAACTTTATATCCCACTAATGTTGAGAAAATGAAGATCCAAATATTTTCGAGAATTCGTCTTGGTCATACAATTGCAACTCACAACTGGATCTTGAAGAAGTCTTCCTTCCCAATCTGCAATTGTGGACAAATTCTTATTATAAAGTACGTTCTCTGTGACTGGCTTAACTTTTCCTTGACTAGAAGTATTGCATTTGGAGCGGCTAATCCTATGGATATTCTAAAATCAGCTACAGACGGAATATGAACACGATATATTATTTATTAAAACTATCAGGCTCAATATCTAATGTACTTTTATAAATTAGAGCCGACAGTCGGTATTGCTAGTGCTCAATGTCTTTTTCTTTTAGTCTAAGATTATAATAATATTAACAATAGCTTTTTACGACAAAAGCTGGCAAAATAATAAAATTTTTAGGAAATAAATTTAGTTTCCATTTTTTTCCAAAATTTAGATCACATTATGCGAACAAGGCAGGCTTTCATAAAACATATGTGTTTAGGAGAAAATAATTTGTAACTCTGGTTAATTATTACTAGACGAAGTGGTGTAGAGTATTTATAGTCGATCTTGACCGTGTGTAATGTCCCTACTTGTTTTTATGTATATACTTTATGTAATATTGAGTTGCACATATTAACAAAAATAAAACAACTATTCAATCTGAACAAAAATAATTTTTTTCAAATATTAAATCGATTGACTGATATTTATGTTCATACCAAGGGTTTTTTGAATGTGCATTCATACAACAGAGTTTAGAGGTATGTGTGCAATCATAAACAATAAGTGAAAAGAACATTTATAAAGCATAACAATAGTTTAACTGGAGGCCTTGTTTTCAGTTAAAAACCACGATATGTGTGGATTCATGAGCAATGCATTCCAAAATGAATATAATGACACCACTAACAACAAATAGCTGAAACCACAAACAACAATTTTGGTGAACAACCAAGAATTAGACAAACGTTTGGTTTGTGTTGTGTTTTGCATCGAAAACCTGACAAGTTGCAGCTATCAAGGCTACTTATTATAATGTGTTAGTATTTGCTAAATAAGACAGTCAACGCACATACGCTTGCATAAAGTAATGGAAAACATGACTAATTGACGGCCCGTTTGATTATGTAAAAAGTAATGTTAATCATCGGCAAAAATACGCATTATGACGTATTTGCATGAATTTCTCACGATTCACGTTTCATACCTTATTTTATTTTCGAGTTTTCCGCAATGTCAACCTAATGAATGCAACCTAAATTCGAAACCTTGGTGCACACAAAGCGCCAGTGCGTCAAATCAACGGTAATCAAACTGATAACGAAGATTTTGCAATCTTCGTGTCGAATCGGACTAAAAGACCAGCACTGGGACAAAATTATATTTTATTACATTACTTTAATTAAAAAGAAAATAAATTAAAAGGATGACAAATAGATAGGACGAAAGAGGGAACAGGAGTAGAGCGACAATGAATGAAAGCAGAAAGAAACAGTTAAAAAGGGCAAAAAGGGGCATAACTAGAGTACGAAGCAGAAACAGAACTAGAAAAAGGAACTGAGATAAGAGCCGCAACCTTGGTGACGAAAAACAAAGTGGAACGCGTACAAACCAAAAAGTTTAAATGCTGTCGAATCAGTAAACTTTAAAGTGAAATGAAAGCGAGCTCTCCTTTCCTCTCCTATCCCTCTCCTATCTCCTTTCCTTCCTATCCTCTTTCCTCTAAATATGTACAAGGAGTAATTACTACTATTAAATTTGTATTAATAAATAGAAGTGAGTCTGCTAGCAGCTAGTCATAGAAAGATTTGATTTGATCTGAACAGATCGTATTGTAAGCTTTGGAGATGTAATAAAACAATTGACAATGGAAAGGTGCAATGAGTAATTGCGCGGCAAATTAAAATCGTTCAAGTGAGTTTCGGCCTTTACAATGTTGGACTAAGGATTGCAAAGCAGTAAGGAACACGTTAAGATCATTCGGTAGAAAGTCGTACTGCACTGACTGTTTTAGACGCGTCTTCGTTCGAGTAAACGGTTTGGAGTACTATCTGAGAATATACCACCTCAGACTTAACTCACAGATTGCTCCGAAAGCTAGATCGTTTTTTTCATGCTGATTACACATATTACTCGGAAAATGAAAAAAGTTGCGCAACTAAGCACCAAAAAAGTTAAAGTCATTCGTTTTAAAATGCTTTTCATTTTTGTAAATGCTTTTCTCTTTAAGGCGATTGTTCCATCTTGGATTGAATTGAAACAATTAAAATTTAGCGCTTAACACGTAACAACAGTATTAAAAGAAAACGTGACGGAAAGAATACAACAAGCGAGGAAAAATAAATATTGCTGTTTTTGTAAAAATACCCCCGTACACGTAAACGTTAAAAAAACAAAATTGCATTACCTCTTAAGCAAACGCCGTAAATGCATACCGTACTGCTAAAGGAAGTATTGGAAAATTAAAGCAAACCAGCTTATCTTAGACACGGTAACAATTCCAGGTGACATCACAAGCAATACCTTCTCATTATTCTCCCTGCTCTAATCTCTGTACTTCTCTCTATTTCTCTCTCGCTCGCTCTATCTCTTTCCCATTATTTCTCCGTACGAGTTTCAGCGCATTTCAACGCATTATCCAAAGGCATGCAATATTTAGCTTCGCTTCTATGCAAACAAATCCACTGATACACATACATATACACATATATATATACATATACATATATTTTTCATATGACAGCTTTTCTACAGCTAAACAATTGCGTACACTTAGTAAGCGAAAATATTAAATGAAGCTTAAAAAAGCGCATCTACTGATGTGTGTATTCACGACCTTTTTGTATTGTTTTTACCATTGTTTCCCTCATGATAAAAAAAGTATTGAGAACGCTGAAGGAATAGTCGTTAAATCGTGTGCATTTTTTTCGCATCTTATGCATATTTTTACAGCTGGTGCCAGCGAAAAGAAATTACCTGTAATTGTATTTGTACACGGCGAGTCATTCGAATGGAGTAGCGGTAATCCTTACGATGGCAGTGTATTAGCCAGCTACGGCGAAGTGGTTGTAGTAACACTTAATTACCGTTTAGGAATTCTAGGTAAGTAACATAGAATAACACATTAAAGCAATGACAATAAACTGTTGCACTACTCAAAGGTGCCTTGCAAACGAACCTAAATAAAACAAACAAATGAATGTTTGCGCTTTTCAAAAGAGATTAGCATTCATTCCGCACGTAAATTACTGATGCGACATTTCATTTGCATATTAGGTTTCCTCAATGCCAATCCTAGTCCATTGGTACATGCTCGTGTGGCCAACTACGGCCTAATGGATCAAATTGCTGCTTTACATTGGATACAACAAAATATACAAAAATTTGGTGGTGATCCTAATCTGGTGACGCTGGCTGGTCATGGTACAGGCGCCGCTTGTATAAGTTATTTAATGGCATCGCCCACAATGGTTAGAGGTCTTTTTCAACGTACAATTTTAATGTCTGGTTCGGCTTATTCGTCGTGGTCTTTAGTTGAAGATCCCGTCATGTTTGCTATTAAACTAGCCAGAGAAGTCAATTGTTCGATACCAGAAAATGTTGACAAACATCATGAACAGATTGTGGATTGTTTGCGCGAAACACCATTAGAAGAATTATATGGCGCTGACATACAAGCACCCACATTTCTAAGCTCATTTGGTCCATCGGTAAGTAAAAGATGAAAATGTACTTTAATATAATTAATAAATAAAAAGTCTAACACAAAGAACGAAACCATAACCTGCAATTTTTTCTGAATTTTCATTGCTAGACATTTTTACACTCAATTAATTGATGACTCTTTTGTTATTCGTCGGCGTTCCTAGAACTTATCTAAACGAACATGCCAAATTCTAGTATTTCAATTTTTGCGTACATGAGAGCTCCATCAAAATCGCACTTTGATCAATATATAAACTTTGTTGGAACTATTATACGCTTAGTATTTGAGGATGATATAAGCATATCATACTTCGGTTGTAGTTATAAAGCAAGATTACTATAGCTCAATAATCAATAATGTAGGTGTAGGTGAACCTACTAACTAATTCACTCTGATTTGCTTCCACTGAGACAGAGCAAAGGAATAACCAACAAGTAAGAACGTTATTTTCAGCAGGGTCCGAATTTCGCGTACCCCCCAGTATGCTTTTCGCATTCTACTCTCTGGGTTCCTTCATTTGATACCCATATCGCCGGTATTATTAAGAAAAAGTTTATCGCGGTGTCTACCATATTCATTTTAAAAGTAGCCCATTTTTAGGCAGATAGTATACCTTCATTTGAGCAATGTACAAAGTAGTCTTAAACACTCTGTGTTGTTTGCCTTATGAGAAATAAGCATAAAAACTCCAAAAAGTGAAAAAAGTAAAATTGTAACTTTATGTGATTTTTTCCATTTTTTCATGTCAGGAGCAGAGTGCTCCATGAAGTAAATATGGAAAATCAGCCTCGTAACATTAATAATTTCCCAGTGACGAGCAAAAACTTACACATTTTTTTAAAGAAACACGGACTTGCATTCAGTTTACGCTCCTCTGTGCGCTTCTGCCCCGACCAATTTGGCATACTTTCGATACCAACCTGCGTGCACAAACTTCTAATGCTTCTACTAAATTTGAAGTCGATATCTTCATTTTTGCGACCAGGAGAATGCCAACGACATCCACCGCACAGACACACAGACGGACAGACGTGACTAAATCAACTCAAAATTTCACGCTGATCAAGAATACAGATACATTCTAGGATCTCTGAAGCTTCGTTTAGATGTTACATACATTATGTAAAAAAACAATATGAGCATACCCCCATCTTAAAGTGGTGGGTACAAAAAGTGGATCCAAAGGTAAGCTGTCTTAGCCTTCATTAGGCCTTCAGTACAAAAGTGGAACGAGCATAAATATCCTCAACAATGCGTTAGTATCACACAATAAGGCGGTACTATGACAATGCAAATAAACCTGAGATAAAAAAGTAGCGACTTTTCAGTACTTTATTGACAAATATGTTTGTTGTAGAAAAGTTGGAAAATGAAAAAAGATAGCAATGACTTAATCCAGATATGATGCTTGGGTTTAAACTAAAAATGAAGCTTTCTATATACTGCGATTTGATCCAACAAGAGAGTTTTTTCTAAATCCGACGAAAGGGCAATAATTTGGTTTATGCGTTATGTATCCTTATCCTTTCCTCTTAATTATTTTAAATAAATCAAAGCAAAATAGGCGACTAGCTTGATGTTTGGTTGTTCATAAACCACCAAAACTGTGTAAGCAACGACAATATCGCGTAGGAATAAACAAACACAAACTTTTATGGAGTAATAGTATATATAGCAAATAAAGCCCAATCCATCTCTAATAAACAAATGAGAACATTATAGTCGGGCAAGGCCAATTATTAAATATCCTGCCTAATGCAGTTATTCACTCGTTTTGGTAATAAAACATCAAACGTTACACATTCAACCATGTGGGAGAAATTCTTATTTGCGGGCACCCAAAAACTTGACCTCGTTCAAATTCGGTAAGATTGATTTCTATGTTAGTTTTCATCACGATATATTAAAAATTATACTCCGTAGGAGGAAAAATTGCCACAGCCAATCAGATTTTTTCACACCAATGCGGAATACCGATATATTATTACCCAGAACAGGGCTTTATGTAGGGGGAAGTGGTCAAAGAAATTAACCGATCCGAACCATTTCTAACAACTTTCGTCTTTGGGTCAAAGCACGTCAGTGTGCAAAATTTCGAAATGGAAATGTTTCTAAAACTGCGACCACAATTCTCCATGGACTTGATCACAAATTTGCATGGACAGAATCGGGCCCTTAAGGCCGATATGAAGAAAGCAATCTAAATACATATAATTGCGAAAGCCATGGCTTACCTTATCTATATACACAGTCATCTATATATTGATTTGCTAAAGTAAGCTTTTAACGAACTTTACGAACGCTTTGTTTGCCGATTGAGAAATTTATCGCTAGAATACAATTGAAAATTAAACGAATATGGAAACAGCGAATCGATAATGTCATCCTTATTTTATTCGAGAGCATCTGACACTTTCCCTATGTTTCTCTTCCTTTACTGAACCTAAATTATCTAGATTCTGTAGATTTTAAAGTACACGTAAATCTGTAGACAGAGGCAAATGTAACTAACAAAATTTGGGGAAATCCAACCGAAAAACCAATGTCTCATATTATCGCAAATTGTTGCAATAGTCACATAGTGCAATAATGTTTCGTTTAAATCTTAAGTATAATAAATTGTTTACATGTATGTATAACTCGGCATTGGCTATGAAAAAAGGCATCAAGGCGAACTCCAACTACTCATAGGCTTTCAATTCCCAGTATTATATGTTTGTAACATTGTGTCCATATATGCAGAGTAACTGTAGATATTGTTTGTTTATCTTTTTTTTGCAAAAGTCAAAAGCAAGGAAACTGCTAAAGAAAATTGAAAAGTCGTGAGACAAAGAAATGCAGTAAGAAAGAGATATCTCTATCGCAAAAATGCAATTCGCAAAACCGTACATTTGCCATGAGACTCTGATGGAAAAACTACACACACTATTTAGCAAATATTTAGCACTTTGGCATCTCATACCATTCGTTCACATCCCGCATAACTTTCGATTTTTTGGCACGAATCGAATAATTCTTCAATGGTGCCCCAGAGTATCAAATAAATACAATTTTGTTTTCTTGATTTGAGTTTTTCTTTTTTTTTTTTGCTTTTATTTGCTTAGAAATTGTTTTCTTGTGCTGATTGAACACACTTTCTGTTTCGTCTTCTCCTTTTCTTCCCTTTATTATTTTCAGGTGGATGGTGTGGTCATACGGTCCGGACATTCTAATCTTGATATTGATGACTTAATCGCACGCAATTTTAAACGCTCTTCACCGACGGATAGCGGTAGCAGTTCCTCTGGCAGCGGTAACAGTAATTTGGGTAGTAATTATTTTGGTGGTGGCGGTGGTAGTGGTAGTGGTTCAGCTTACACCAATGGTGGTGGTTTTATTACCGGCCCTCATTTTGATGTGCTATTCGGCGTGGTTACCGGCGAATCGATATGGCGTTTTAGTGCCCATGATATACAGAATGGTTTCGAAGGGGAACGTCGTGATAAAATTATACGCACATACGTACGCAACGCTTACAATTATCATTTAAATGAAATTTTTTACACGGTAAGTTCCATTATCGCTGTCATGCAATTGCCGTGTGTATTAAACATAAAACTGACAACAGTAATCGTTTTAATTACATATACCTTTTCTATCGTTAGTGCAGTAAACACAGCTGATTCTTTTTTTACATACAGTCGTTCTATTTTCTCTTTTTAATTATAATATGGTTCAAAAAATTAATGAAATCTTTTCGATTTATACGGTTTCATTGAATTTTCTGATTCTAGTTACATATATGTAAGACATATTCATATGCAAGAGTATATGTAGATGAGGCAGGTAAAAATTCCTACCAATCTTTCCATTGTCTATTTTACCATTTTTGGCACCTGTTGTTATTTTCATAATCATTTTTACATGATTATTTTTGTAAATTGTAGCGGCAACAAATAAGTGTTTTCCTTTTAATTTGTAATAAAGACTAAACAGTAAAAGGTATAGACAGGAATTTGCTTCTATTTAAGACATTTATTCATGCCATGAACTGCCCTTCCTACTTAGATTTATCCACCATCCAAAGCGTAGAATTCGACTAAGTTTTTCGCCTTATTTGTAATACCCAGAACTCTCTATCAGACATCACGTAAAGAATATTTATTTCCAGTTATCAAGAAATTCTGAGTTTATTCAACGAACTCTACTTATCCCTCCGTTTGTTGCTGGCATCCTCAAAATGGAAATAGCCGCACCAACAAGACCAGTAAATTGAAACTACTACAGAATGTAAATGCTAGTAAAAGGCAAAAGTTACTCATTTAACTGTGCGCCCAGCTATGCCGTTAAATTGCAAAGTACCAAGAGCAATCGGATTAAACGTTTCGCGCTAAATGTTTTTTTTTAAGTTAATAAAGTCCAAAAATGATATCAACAACTAATATTTCTTATTAACTTCCGTTCGGTCGTGTAGAATTAACGTGATCAAAAAGTACCAGAAATTGGTGATCTAAAATCCTTCTTCTCGTCAATTATGTATAATCGAAAATTTTATTTTTGAGATAAATTGATGAAATTCAGTACCGTGACATATTTTGGCCCAAAGACGAACGCTACTGAAAATGATTCCGATCGGATCAGCTTTTCAACCACCTCCCATACAACATCTTATTTTAAAAAATCACCAAATGAATAGCTGCAGAATGATATAGGGCATTTAATGGTCTGTCGTTGTCCGCTATAAATTTTTTAGTTGTTTATTAGGAATAGCCCGAAGTTCTGAATTTATAAAACGGCTTTTGTGAATCGCATAAGCCAAAAGCATTTGATATAAATCCTTCAAATATGTACACTATCATCTTCCGAAGAAAATGTCGACGATACAAAGATTTAATTTAAGAGAAATTTTTGAGTTGACTCCAATCTTGAAGTTTACAATGGTAAAGCTTAAGTAGAAAGGGAAATCGCACCTCAGCGAGTGAATTTGCCTAACTTTTCATTTCAAGGAGACTAAAGTAATATGAAAAAAGCTTGGAATAGTGATCACGGACGAGCAAACAGATATTTGGACAGACGTGGCTGAATCGATTAGGCAGCTGTCGTGAATCAAAAATTTGTTTACCTTTGTCTGTCTTCTACGGATCGTCTTAATATTTCGATCAGTTTCTTAGCATGGACAATATTAGAATCTGAATTCCATCCCGCATCAAAAATATTTATTAAACGAGCAAATTTGAAAGTAATTATAAATTCGGCAGGATCGAGTAGCGGAAACGGAGTAGATCTACTAAAGTAGTGCCGATTACATCATTACACAGCAATCTACTTTGAAATTTTTCGAGTAGCCAAGTTATTGATACAAGATTGTCATGTGAATGGCACTTACTAATGGAGTTTGTAGAATTTGAACAACAAGCGAGCACACAGTGTCTCCAGCGCAAAATATTTGCACTAAACAATCGTTTTCCCGAACAGCTTTTGGCACACATACGCCTGTATCAGTCCAAATCGTGAGCAAACTGGATGCTTAAGAGCAAACAAAGTATAGTCCAGGATCTCAAGTAAATTTGGCCAAAAATCGACTGATTTATTAGATAAGTTACTAACTGCCGTTCAGATTACGCTACACCAAAGACCTCAACTTCAACAGTGGGCTTTAAAGTGAACGATGAAATGCCTACATGGCTTTATAATGGTATTAGCCACTAACAAGAAATTCTCATCAATATAGCAAATTCAATGTATTTATATGCCTATGGTGGATATAAATATATTAAAATTCTTCTTTTAAATTATATTCATATGCATTTATCTCTCTATTCCAATTACCATTAAAAAATTTTAAATAATTTAACTGAATTCAATTCGAACATTCTATTAAAATATCTATTTACGGTCAATGAAATTTTCTTTACTCTATCATTAATATTAAATGGATTTCTGGTATTTTAATTTCTCAATTTCATTAAAATGATTATTGAACATAATCAACGTATATATATATATATATATGAAAACATGCGTCCATGAAAAATCAATCATCTTTTTGCTTTGTTTAGTTTTCAATTATTTTAATATTATTTATTGGAAATTGCATTCAAAATACAAACGAGAATAATACAAAGCTGTTGTCTGTGTATATAAACGGATTTAACAAGAAAAAATCAATTTGAATATTTTAGATTATATTAAAAACTTCATAGTCATGCTGTAAAGGTTAGTAGAATTGTATTAAAACCATGTAAGCATATGTTCACTTGTCGGGGTGGTTCACTATTGAGCTAATGAAGAGATAACATAGAGGTCGTTTGTAAAAACATGATACACATATTAAATTTGTATCACTATCTGAAATCGAAGAAAATAACTTTATCAGGGCTGCACTGCGCTTCAATGCTCACTTCTCCTTAAAACAAGCAACATGAAATATTAAATTATTTTTAAAAGGAACCCGATCATACTCTAAATCACTTGCGTCTGACAGTCTGTTCGAGGGCTCTTCACGTATATTCAGTTCAGTTTATAATTTTCGAGATAACTGTAAGATATTTTGTACACAGTAGCAAAATACACGTAAAAAATTTGGACCGAATGGAATAACTTATCCAACTTATGTAACTATATGTAATTTTTAGAAACTTTTTTTTTTTGTGCGTCTAAAATTCGTAATTCTTATTAAAATTCAAACTACGAACAGTTTTACTTGAAGTGGTGCAGGGAAATGACCTTAACCTTCTGATTAGTGATCTAAATTATATGTAAATTATACGAACGCACTTTTAAAACGATACAAAAACCGAACAATTTTCGGGTAGTTTTGAAACCACTTATTTTGTAACCTAGGCACGCATTTGGTTCCATCTTAAACTTAACGTTGTTAAATTAAAAAGTCGGTTAAAAGAATAAGTTTATTATCTCAAAGTTTTTGGACGAAGGGGAGTGGACAGTCAAGGCCGTAGATTTTTGAAGAAGGAATACTACGATAAAAACTCGCAAACTAGTTGGACGATAGTTTGCATTGTGTCAAACAGGTAAAGATCTAATCTGATATGTACGTAATATTAATGAAGATACTGTTAGCAAAACAGTTCCGGTCATTTTAGTATTAATACTAAAGGGCAAGAATTTGAGGATGTTTGTCATGTCTGACCAAAGCTTTTTAAGAAATCATCGCGATTTTAAGGAAGGAACGTGCACGTAGATTGTAGTACATCTACTTTAGATAAACTTTACATAAATCTGCTCTTTTAACATTTGTTATGAGATGGATATCAAAAATTAAATCCTATGTACCATTCCATAGCTTACGCGTGGGAGTAGCTACGCATAAGCGTTTGTTGTTCTTATTATTAAAGGTTAGAAGTTTTCCTGTTGCAAAAGAAAAATTATTTGGGAAAAATTATGAAAATAAATTTACTTTTTTTAGATTTTGGAGTTTAATGTATATAATAAGTAAAAAAATTCCGGAAATTTGATTAAGTAAAACTACAAGCATGCAGATTCTAACCATTTTTTGTGTACAAACAAGCAATAACATTATAGAGAGCCGCTATTAGATAACGGCTTTTCAAAACAAGATGTTATATGAGAAATATGTCGAAAGTTCCGGCCTGTAAGTTGAACAAAAGAAAACAAGGCCGAGAGACGGACAGACAAGGTTAGTTTGGTTTCAGAGAGTGATGGAATGAAAGGTGGATTTATTTCAAATGCTTTTAAATGTTGCGTACATCCATCAACACCTAATAAGCCCGTGTACCGCAAGAACGTCTTTGTTATATCTAATCGCTCTATTATTTACACTCGTATGTGGCCACTGTTACGAAAGGTTATTATAAATTGCGCTATATGGTTAAAGTAGCGCTGTATTGCCAATTTAAGAAAAAAATTTTTAATGTTAAATTAACAGAAATACGTTAACGAAAAGTCAATATTAAGGTTAATGACAGCAATCAATAAAAAGAGATGACGATTTTTTTTTTGCGAAATTACCATAAAAGACGAAAGAAAAAATGTAATAAATCATTTGTTCTTGTCAAGAGTAAAGTGAGAGAGAATAATGTCTGAAATCAACTTACCGTAAAATGATTGACATGGCAACGCATAATAAACCTGCCACAGAGATAAATAAACAACTAATTAATTGAATATAAATCACGAAGCGAATAGAGTAAATAAGGAATAATTTATTAAATCAAAATATTAATTGCGCTATAATAATATAGAACAACAATATTAACGCAATAAAAGCAATAACAAAAGCGAAAGCAGTTTATGATATAAATATAAACATCAAGAAAATTTATTATTCCATATCATACAAGCGTGCAGAGTCGTGGCAATACGCACCGTACAACGTCGATTTTATTTTGTTTATCATATAAATAAATAAAGATTAAGCAAATAAGTTGATTACAAACGGTAACGAACGCGCTTTCATTACTACTTTTGCCTGCTTTTTTTATTTCGCTAAAAAAGTTTTACATTTTTACTTTTTTGATTTATATTAACTTACAGCGACAGTTTTGAATATAAAAAATTTGAAAAAAAAGAACAATCGCTATAATCTT